TGGAGTTCGATCGCCTGTTCTGTCAATTCACCCTGCCACAGGCCAGAGTTGAAAGCAGGAAACTACAGCGACTCCATCACGCTTATTGCACTTGTCCTACGCTGGGTGGGTTTTTGTTCATCCAACTTCGTCAATCCACCTCGATCCGCCGCTTTTCCTTCGATAGTATAGCAGCAGTCCTGATTGGATGCTGGGACAGAAGACAATACCACGCCACGTAGTTACGATCGCAAACCAAGGTTCCTTCACATGCCTCGCATCGGAACCAATGCAGCTGTGGGTCCGCTGAAGTTGCTCCTGCTTCTCCTCGATCATCGCGCGTTCTCTGCGAAGCGAAGCGGCCACCATGGCCAATTGCTCCTGCCGGGTGTTACCGGGAGCTTCAAAGCCGTTGTTGCAGCCTCGGGTGAAGGCACGTGCCGCGAAGTTGCCTATTGCAGCAACACTGGGCGGCTCTTGCGTTAGCTCATGGAACGACTTTGGGTCTGAAGACTCTGTCCTGTGGTGGCCGGTAGGCAGAACGTGCGATTCGAGGAAGGCCACGATGCGGAGGCACCCAGGCAGCAGTCCCCAATGTCAACGTCCATAACCCCAATGTCGAGAGAACCAGCGAAGCAGCCGACCTGACGACAGAAGCTTCGAATCATGTGCGGGTCCGAAGCCACAGTCGAGCGGTGATGTGAAAAGCAAGCGAGGTGACAAAGCTGAGGGTTCGTCAGTCTCTGTCTCGCAACGTCCCGGCCTCATTTTAGGAGATGGATGAGGCACAACGCCGCGGTGAAAACGTCTTGTCGGCTCGGCTATCGTTTCTGAAGGCTGCATCCTCTGTTTAGGATAGCGGATATCAACAGATCACAGTTTAAAGGGAAGACCTGTATTGAGATTCGATTAACAAAATTCACACCACTTTCACACCAGAAGGACAGCTTATTGAACGCCTGGGGATGTTTGCAAACAACCTTACTGCAGCTGGATCAGTCTCGAACTCTGCCGAATGCCGCTAGCTGAGGGCAGCACGGTGGGCAGACGGAGGACCGGCACCCATGCTGAACACCAGATCACTGAGAAATAGTGTGAGTCACGTATCTGTCTGTCTGGGCTGCTGTGATGGCTCGTGTATGCTGGTGTGGACTCTGTACCGTATCGCCGCAATCTTCGAGCCGGGCATGGTCGTTAAACGCTTTCAAAGGGCATGCGGCAGCGGCAGAGTGTAATGAACGTTGAAAGAAAACAGCGCAAGCTCTCCCAGTCCCATCTCTCCCCGGCAGCAGCGAGCCTCAGATCGCCGAAGGGTTGCTACGGCGTAGGCGGTTGAAGAGGACCTGTCCCATAGAACCCTGCTGCAGCGATTTCGCAGGTCTAGCAAGTTTGCAGTGGCACCTTGTGTGAAGAGGTGCAGCGACAAGAGCAAGACGTGCTTCCTTGAAGGCCGCAACCTGTATCGCAACACCGACTGCACTTGGAGGTTCTGACTGCGCTGACTCGTAAGGATGGAGCAGCTTCCGAGATGTTGGCTGCTTTCTTGCCTAGTCTATGAAGCCACAGGTGCCTGAATAAATCAAGCACGCTTGGGCTCGGACGGAGGCGATCAGGGTCAATTAATGGTACCTTGCGTCATGACAGACTGCTGCTTCCACTTAGCAAGAGCCGCGCAACGTGCTACACTGATGAGGCTGAGTGTCGAGTTTCGCGGCTTGAGCTTTCACCTGAAGCTTATACTTTCTGGCATCAACTTCCAAGAGTTGCAAACAAGGGCTGCCTTTGCTAAAGCGCGCTCGTGCTCTTCTCTGCGATCCTGTTCCTTTTCTGCGATCTTCGCAACCTCAAACTCCATTGGTTGCTGACCATGCAGCAAGTCAGCGCAAGGCTCGGACCGACAGAGCATACTGGAGGCGCTCTCGCAAGCCGTCCACAGTGTCCTGCCGAAGCAACAATCCCGAGCAGGTCGAGCAGGAATCTCAAAACGAGCCGGGCAGGCAGCATCATGATCCGACAAAGTCGGGCATGAAGCTGAGAGGCTCCACAGCACGACCCTGCGCCAAAAGACTGCCAAGACCTCAGCAACTGCGCTCACCCGTCACTTCATCCCTTCCTTCATGCATGATTTGTGGTGCCTCTGCCCACAGCACTGCTTGCCCGTCGCCAGCAAGTCTGGCTACCAGACTGTGACCAAAACTTGTCGCAACTACCAGCCGGCGATCCTTCACCAACTGACAGAAGCGGAGACACTGAGGCTTCCTGCAGCGGTTGGCGGCAAAGGCGGCATCCGCAAGGCCTGCGCCCCGGACCCTTGAAACTTGTCGACTGGGCAAAAAAAATCATGCCGCTTCGTGGTTCTCCGGGCCCTGCCAGTCCGAAGCCCGAAGCCCACATCTTGGCCCGCAGATCTCATACCATGCATTCACTCATCTTCTGCCGGAGGGGATCTTCAGAAGACAGAAGTGACGTTCTTGATGTTCTCCTCTCCTCCCGTCTTCCCGGCAGTGTGACCCTGAAGGACCTAGATTCGAGAGGAAGGAAACAACTAATGAACTGCACTTTTATTTAGAATGCAGAGACTGCACAGACATGAAACCCAAACCCGTGCTGTGGTAAGACTTTGGCCACACATTGGGCACCGGGTGAGGGTTGTAACTGGAACCAGCGCGCGACGTCCCGGGAACCACGTTGCAGGATCCAACCAGGACGTAACAGGAAGGACATGTAACTGGAACTGCGTTGGGGCTAGCAACTGTAATCAGCGGGAATTGCAATTGAAACCAGCCGGACAATGGAACCGAATCCAGGCTTTGGGTTGAGACTTTGAGGGCCCTTGCAACTCTGCTTACAAGGGCACCTGTGTATTCCCTTTATAAGCTTTACAAACCCTCCTAAGAAACAGTCAGAAGCCCTTTAAGAAGCGCTTTATAAACAATGAAAGCCCTTTAGAAACCTTTAGCCCTTGTAAACGCTTGAAAAGCCCAAACCCTAGATCCTTGAACCTCATAAACCCCTTACCCTCAGACCCGAAGCCCACTCTAAGCCCTAAACCATAATCTCCTTTTTCTTCCTCTCATCTTCCCTCTCCTCTTCCTCCCCGTCATTGAATGAGTCCATGGATAAGGCGCTTGGAGTAAAACCCGCCGAGGAAGGGAAACCACCGGCAGCGCAGATTTCGGCAATGCCACCCCCCGGCCAGACGGGCAGTCCCTAAACCCTAAACCCAGAAATCTACCCCACCGTCAAAACTCATCGATTCTCATTTAACACTGTTTCCTGAAGGCTCTACTGTACTTTTCCTTTTCGTTCACTCCCGCCGACGAACCCCCTCTGCCCCACACCCTGAACCCTAAACCCGCTGATCTTTAAAACAACATGGGTGTTGTTAGGATGTTGCTAGGAATCCCAATAAAACGATTGGTGTTTCTTATGGTTTTTGCTACAAAACTAGGGTTAACTAATACTCTAAGCCTTAAGCCCTAAACTCCTAAACCCTCAAGTGATAAAGCGAGTGCAAGGCATGTGTTAGAGAGGCAGTTCCAGTTACAAGCCCCCCAAATTCCTGCTACGGCGGGCTGGTTTCTGAAATAGTTTCGAGCCAGTTCCGGAAACAAAATATCCTGTTGCAACCCCCTGGCTCAGAGCGAAGATCCTGTAGGGAATAGCGGAAGCGAAACTGTGAGTAATAGATTGAAAGTCAAGGTTGGGCAGTATAGGAAGCAATATGTGCAGTCATGGTGCAGCAAGGATATTGAAGGTCTTCCGCTTGGCTCTCTCGGTTTTCTGCCTCTTCTTCCACACAGTTAAAGGCGGCAGTAGCGCGCAGCCCCGGCCCCCGCCCATCCCCACGCAAGCGGGCACTGGGTTGAGGCGTCTAGTTTTCTGCCTCCCCCTCTCTCTCTCTCTGGCTCGCTCCCTCCATTCCGTAGAAGCAGCCGGCTCACCACACCCTTCCGAGGCCCACCGTCTCGGGGACGGGACGGAAGCACAGGATACGAGCAAGAGAGACTGGCTCGAGAATGGAGCAGTCCATGAGCATGTAACAGAGTCCGGCGCAACTCTTTCCAGCCAGCAGAACAATGAATCTGCTGCCAGACGGAGCGGGTGTAAGACGTGTCACTGAACGGCTGAGAGAGAGTGAGAGAGAGAGAGAGAGCGAGAGAGAGAGAGAGAGAGAGAGTGAGAGTCGTAAAGGTTTGTCTGGGCGATGCCCGTCTGTTGGCTCGATGGGGGCTTCCTGCTCATTAGTGATCAGTGCATTGGAGACCTGGGATTCTCTTATCGCCTCAGCATCCCGAGGCGATCTGCATAAGACCAACCCTGAAACGGACCTTTCGACGGATGATACATGGAAGGGCGGGCACCAAAACTTGAAGCAACACGTTCTTGTAGTCGAGTGGTAGGCAAGCGCTTCTTGTCTGGTCTGCAATCAGGAAAAGAACACAGATGAGTGCAGCACACCAGACAGCAAGAGAGCACGAGGCTATGCACCATCTGCACATCGACCCTGCATGAGCCTGCCCCGTGCTGACTGTTCCTCACCCACCGTCTGACCCGGACTGACCCTGGCAACCCGATCCCCTCCCAATCCCGACACACGAGGCATGTCCGGAAGTGCGAGGGTACAGCACTTTGCAGTCGCTCTCTCACCAGCATCGCTTCACCTGCCAAAGCTCACCGCGCCAAGCAGCTGCCAGGCCAGATTGGGATGCCTGCCGGGGCAGGACACTAAGCTGCGTCCGGTGCAAAACATCACTCATATGTTTTTCAGAGCTGTCGCACTACTCATTGATTTCTCGCTGTTATCTCTGGAAAGGTCGCCAAAGTTTCTCACATGCATATAACGGTTATGCGGCAAGTAGCTCACAGGGTTCTCGCAGCCTTGTCATATGTACCTCACAATTGCTGGTGTGTCAGAGGCTTCTTACGCATGATCCGTCCTTACAGATTTCTCACAAGTTTGTCACAAGCTCATATATTATTTATACATATATATATATATATACATATACATACACACATCATATATAGGTGTATATATATATACATATATATGCATGCCGTCTCACAGGCATATACACAGGTCCGAAGCCTGAACCGCATGTCCCCTGATACGGAAGGAACTTCAGAAAAGACTTCGCCTCCTCGGGGAGGCGCTGCAAGTCGACACAGATCATCGCCAATCGATCGGCTAGCTGTTTCCAGTAAGCTGCGTGCTTCCCTTGGCAAGCATTGCAGCAGACCAAAGTGCTCCACACTTACCTAGCGACTTTGCGTGAAGCTCCCCTACCTCGTAATGTGGAGAGATAAGCAAAGAGCAGGCACTGAAGGCTGTAGCTCCAAGCGCCAGGCTATGTTCTGGCGATGCCCAATGCGAGTCCGTCGCATCTTGCTGGCATAGCAAACAGGATCCTGCGCAGAGCAATAGGAGGAACCGAGGAAACAGGAGACTCATGGAGACTCTGCACGTGACTCTCAGATTGAACAAGAGCGAGCGGCAAAGGCCTTCGTCAACGAAGGCTGGGTCTCCTGGTCTGGGCGCCCTGCGAAGAAAACCCAGCAACACACGAATCCCAGTCGCTCCGGGCAAGGGGCCCAGAGATTCGTCGTGCGCTGGCCAAGAGCTTGTCCTGTTAAATGGCATTGGTGTAGACAACATCGAGCACCAAGAGGGGATTTTGGAGATGGCGTCTGACCTCTTCCTGCTGCTGCAGCAGCTCCACGGCGCTACCATCCGTCCTTCGAGCCGCTTGCTGGCGCTTGCGAAGAGCAAGTCCTAAGTGTTGGACTGCGGCCTCCATGGAACCAGGCCTGCTGGCAGAGGCCATTCCTGAGTCCGGCTGCAAATATCCGCAGCCCACAGATGTTCGTGGCAGCCACTAGGGCTCGTGCCCAGGACATGGCGGAGGAACCAACCTTCTAAAGTCGAGCATAGCTTGAACATCCGTTGCCAATTCTGCCGAGCATGGGGCTTTTTGGAAGTACTGAAGGTTCAAGTTCCGAGACGTCCTCTGCCTCCATACGGACTCTCACACGCATGTCGATGTCTTGGCGCCCATCCGGAGAGGACTCCAGGAATGTCGAGGCTCGTGCTCCCAGACATCGGGCACCTCGCAGACTCCGAGACAGAGTGGCAAGGATGTGTGAGCCGAGTCCGTCCTCTTCCAACTTCGGCTCCAGGTGGCTGGGAGACAGCCCGTCATTCTCGACGCACGATACGAGAAGTTCTTGACACCGAAAGGGAAGGCCTGCAGTAAGAGATATGTGCAACTTTCAACTACAAGTAGCCGAGTTAACTCGGCAGGTCTCTTGGTGTCATAGAAGTCTGAGAGCTGCACCCAGAGTCTTCAGCTTTTGGGCATCTCTCACCAGATCGAGAGTCTCCAGGAGGCCGGCAGAATCGAGAAGCTTGGCGCAGTGGCCCAGTTGCCTCTTTTGAAGCCAATGCAATGCCTTGGAGCAGCGGACTTTCAGCTGGCAGAAGCCTTTGACAGCCGCACGGCCCGCTTCCCAGGCGTCCACGGACTGCGAGGACTTTTCAGACTTGTCAAGCTGTTCAAGATGCTGCATGGAATCACCCAGGCGCTTCATCTTCCCTAAGCAATCCTGTAAACCCGAAGAACTCCTCTCGCGAAGCTTTCCGTTCGCAAGCAGCGAAAGGACCGTGCCAGTGCTCGCCTCCACGCGTGCTTTGGCCTCCTCAAGAAGCCGCGCTCTCTCCTCCTCCTTTACATTTGCCTCGCGCTGCTGTGCTGCTTTTATGTTCTCCCTAATGATCTCGTCCAAGTCCTGGGTCAAGCCTGCGACCAGTTTGAGAACAGAAGTCCAGCCAAAGCCCGGCGTATCTGCAAGACCTTTGTAAGCACATACCAGATCGCGGCTCTCGGATTGCAGGTCCAGCCATGCTGTCGTCCCGGGAGTGCTGTCCAACTTCGGATGCCTCACTTTTGATGCAAATGCCAGAAGCTTTTCCAGGAACTCGAAGAGATTTCCAACCTGACCACCAAGACTTGCGATGTCGTGCAGTTTTCGCTGGAGCTTCTCATCGCGAGGCTCGTCCAGGTTCAGATCGAGAGCAGGTGCGGCGGCTCTTGTCAACTGTCTCTCCAAGCGAGACAAGCAGGGTGCTGGCATTGAGGAAGCGAATCCCGGATGTGTGAGCGCTCTGTGGAGCAGCGCAAAGAGCTTCAGGGGAGCGCCAACACTGGGTATGTTGCTCCCCAGCTCATCTAGCACATGGTACGGTGGCCAAGTCGTCGGCTGCGGCTCTTCATCCAGCCAGGACATCACGTACTTCCAGCCACCAGCTTTGCCAAACTCAATCAGGCCTTCGGAGGGTGCTGAGCCATCAGCCTCTCCTGAAGGGCACTCATGTCACAACATGCCTTGCTCAGACGCGGCGGGATAACGCTTGCATGAAATGCTTCCTTCCGCGGACTTTGAAGCAACGCGGCTCAAGTGGCCAAGGAAGACTCGACCTGGACAACAGCTTGCAGAACACCCGTGAACTCTTTTTGTGATCTGGGATCTCGGCGCATGGGCCAACCCTGGCGATCGCAGCCCCTCGGCCCCAGCAACACAGGTCTTCATAGAAGGAAAACTCGCCACGTGGCCTCACCACCATGTTCATGTAGGCAGGCATCGACTGCTTGGTCTGCATGTCGAGGCCTTGGTGATGCAACAGCGGAAGAAGGCACGAATAGCAGCATTCGATTCGTGGACTCCTAAGGCCGAAAAAAAGCATCCTAGGTCCTAGGTGCCACAGACACGGAGGAGTCTCGGTGCCTGAGCTTCGGGCACGTCTGTGACGAGCCCTTTTGCAGTCTTTCTGAAAACTGCATGGATCGTATGGCCAGATCCAGAGCCTGCGCAGGCACCGCGCACACACCAGCCGAAGCTTAGATATTGCATCTGAAAGTTTCCGAAACTCTAAGCCTATCCCTGGTCCCTTACCACAAGAGCACATGTTCTACTAACGGCCAACACACGCATCTTTCAGAAAGAAACCCGGATGAACCAGAGTGCCTTGGCCATGTCCGCAAACCCAGCTTCCTCGGCACTGTGCAGGCGCTTCGGAGATCTCAGGCCAGATCTGGCCGAAGCTACAGAGAAGCTCGAACCTCACGGGAATCCGAAGCCCTGGAGCCGGGCCCCTTGGCTCCCCGGCCTTCAGCTTGTTTGTGAAGGCTTGCCGCTCTCGAACCAGGACCTCCGCTCGGTCAGACTAGATGATAGCTGTCTTCGCACATGTATCTAGCATGTTTAGCTCTATGTATGGACGTACACACGGCGAGAGACAGAGATAAAGGGAGAGAGAGAGAGAGAGGTGCGAGCGAGGGAGGGATGGAGGCAGGGAGATCAGAAGTCAGTAGACACCGCAATTTGTAATTCGGTCCGCTCTTCCACTCCCTTACTTAACTTCACCCTCCCATCTTCCTATATGCAATCATACCGGTGTGCCTCCGGGATGGCCTCTTTCGAAACCCGTCGAAGAAACTCTGCAATTCCGCTCTTGATGATCTCCTTGGGCGAGAATGCTTGCACCGACTGCTGCTCATCCGGTACCTGTTGCTGCCCGGTATCTGCAGAGAACTGGGCCTGGCTGTCCTGACGCTCACGGGGCTTGACAAAAAAAACGAGGCTCCATGACCAAGCCGAAATCCTCCGCAGCTTCAGTCACCCACTTGATGATCATGTCTAAGCTGATGGGATCCACCCTGGCAGGGATCCGGCTACGGGGGAAGCATGCCGAGCGCAAATCAATGCCCGAGTGCAAATCACACAGACCTGCCTTTCAACTCTGGCGGCTGGGCTTGATCGATAAACTCAAGGCATCATTGCCAAGCGTCTAAGCGTGCCAGTGGCTCCCAAAGTTCAGCTTGCGCAGTCGCACTTGCCAGTCCAAGGGCTCTTCGAAGACAACAGCCGGAGACCTTCGAGAGGAGACGCTAGACTACTACTGTAGACTCGCTCAGGAACATGATGAAGCACCGGACTCAGCGACAGCGGTCTCTTCCTGCTTTCGCTTGATCCCACGACCTTCCTGCATCGCATGTACTATCGCATGTCGTGTTCAGAGGTTGGAGCAGAGGGCCACTGCTGAGTGAAATCATGTCTGAACCCATCAAAGCCTCTTGATCTCCATCGTCCGGCTGGGCAACTACACCTTCAAAGAGGACTTGCTGCCACAAAATGCAGAGCGCGTGCCCTAGATGACAACGGCGTCCGCGCCGACGATGCTGCACTACTGTCTGGAACAGGGAGGAGGAAGAGGAGTTCAACGAGGACGTTCATGCTAGGCCAACAGCTTCCAGTCTCAACCCCCCCCATCCAGCGATCGCGTTTCTCATGTCGTAAATCTGAGCCTTCTGATGTGCGGTCGATCCCATTGCTTGAACCCGTCCCTTCATCAATAGTGCTTCATCAATCAAAAAATAAAACCAGACCCGTCAATGGGCGATTGCGGTTCCATCTCACATCTTAGACCCGACACCTCATCAGGCGCCTGCGGCTGGACCCATCATTGGGCGATGGCGGTTGATCTCACGTTTTTAAGCTCAAGACCCATCGGTAGGCGATGACGGTTGATCCCATACCTTAAACCCGACCCCATATCCTGTTGTCGTACTCTGAACGTGAAATCCCACTTTTGTTACCACGCTGCTTGGAGAAGCAAGCCCACCAAGGAGAGCAATAGCGGCCAACAACCCCGCCCAACGAAAGGACTACACCCACTGCGTGAGGATTACAGTGGCAGTACAGCCTTGGCACAGCAGTTCACAGCGACACAGCAAAGCGCCCGACTCAAGACCGAAATGATCTTCTGAGCGGCCTGAAACATGGGTTGATCCTACCGCTTGCAAGCCAAGACAAAGCCAGGTCCGGCCGAGGCGGCGGCTTCACCTGGCTTTGCTTTCTTGTCGTTTGACTCTGCTTTTTCAGCTTCTCCGAAAGCGCCATGGCTGACCAGATTCAACCTCATGGACTCATGCGTGAATTCGACCAGCTGCGACGAACGAGAAGCGTGCTTATGCAAAGGCCGGCGCAAGGCAGCTGCCTTGCTCTCCAAACGTGCGTCATCCTCATCCTAAGTGGTTCGTTGCACTGGAACTGCCCCATCCACACCATTCTGAGGCAATGGCTGGAACACTGCCAAACTTCAATGCCTGCCATCGAAACATGGGCTGACGTCATGAGGTATCCTGTCACTGTCTGCTGCTGTCTGCGTAGTACTGGCCGGAAGGCAAGCCCAACAGCAGCTTGGCAGAGTAACGCTTTTCGGTCCCAAGCGAGAGCGTTCTATTCGCTCAGAAGCGAGCTGATCTGCCTGGAGATGACAGTCATATAGAAATGGCCTCAGTGACAGCTAAAGTGCCTTTCCATGCCGATGCTATGGTCCATTGTGCACCATGCCATCGCTGCATGCAGCCATACATGCAACTGGGGGGCAGTTCTTATCGAAGACAGACTTCGCCTTTGCGGTGTCAAACGCCTTCAAAGCTATGTATAATGGCCTCGGCAATGAGCAGCGTCGATGCGATAAAGGCGCGTTGTGTGCACTCACTAACGCCGAACCTCTCTTGCACACGGTAATGGACTCTCTGTTTCGCTCTCGCTCTCTCTGTTCTTCTCCTCTCTCGCTCGCTCTCTTGCTTGCAATCGGACAAGGAAGGGTGCACCCCTTCCCGCGCACGCGTGCGCACTGGTCACTTGGTCAGTGTGACATTAGCAATCTGAGGATTGGCCCGGCGCTCTGAAACCCCCTTTACACCCTTTACACTATTCACCCCCACCGGCCTCCTCATCCCCCATTCAGAGTTACTGGGCAGCGCTGTTCTGTCCCAGTGTTCTGGTAGCTCGCTCTCTCTTTCATTCACCAGGCATGAGGGCATGCCCCGCGGGAGCAGCCTGTGGTTGGCGGTGCGCACGGTATCAGAGGCAGATTTTGCCCCGACACTCCCCAGGATGCAACAACAGCGAAGATTCAAGATGTCTAAAGGAATAGACTAGATGTTAGGACATGCAGAAATTGCATCCCTCGCTCTCTCTCTCTCTCTCTCCCGCTCTGTCTCTCTCTCTCGGGGAGCAGCATGCCTCGTGAGGTCCCTCGGGTGACCTTCACGAAGTACGGAGATGTCCCTGCACAACCACCCTTTTGATTGGTACCTCTCGATACTTCCGGTTAATTAGCGACTATCACTCTCTAAACGACTCTGTGATTCTTTCTTGCTGTCGGTATTGAGTTTGCCATATCGTTCACTTGCTGTGGCTGTTGAGGTTTTTGCCTCCTGCTCCGCGCGAGAGGCCAGGTTTGGACCGACGTACTTTTCAATAATACATCTCCTGACTCCGTCACATGTACCTGGCCATGCAAAGGAGTTATTGGAACGACACGTGTCAACCGAACACTGTGTATCGCTTCACTGCCATCATGCTGGAAGTCGCTGTGAACGGCGCAGCGCCCAGACGAATGGGATTGCACCGGCTTCCCTTTATGTCATGGTGACGAGGTACATGTCAAACCCAACTTGTCACACAACATGAGTTGCCTACTAAGCTTTAAGTTTACCTCTGTCTCTCTATCTCTATCTCCATCTCTATCTCTATTGCTTGCTTGCAGGGCGCTTGGGGTTAGGGGTGCAAGCCCCCCTCCCCCTGCGCAGACGTGCTACGCCTATCTCTATCTGTCTCTCTCTCTCTCTCTCTCTCTCTCTTTGCTAGGGCTGTGGGGCGAGAGCAGTCCTCCCGCCCCGCGCGTTAGCGCTACCCCATCCAACATTTTGTTTGGATGGGCTCGGCTTTACATAGCAAAGGGTGCTCCGAAACTGCGTTCCCCGTATGGGGTTTTTGTTTGCTCGCACCGGCACTGTTAAGAATCTGGTATGTAAAAGGCTGTGTGTACGAGGGGAAAAACGTGCTTGAATTAACGGCCATGCAAGTCTTATGCAAGCTGTTGGCACACCAGTCTAGGGTTCATGGAAATGAGCGGGTGCCCCTCAACACAAATTAAAAGGTAAGTTAGGTGGCTTCAGAGTGTCGCGTTCACTTTTTTCCACCGGCGGCAGAGGTGTTGTTCACGGATCCGGGTGTCCCCGGCGAGTTGCATGGGTGCACATCAGACATATGTCCCAAAACTTGTAGCCACTGGTGCCTCGCCTTTGTAGTCGGCGCTCACTTCTCTCACCTGTGCCTTCGAGGTGCTGCAGCTGTGTCGTCGTCCTTTGGTCCTGGGTCGTCGTTGGCACTTGGCGTCCTGTGCCTTCGAGGTGCTGCAGCTGTGTCTGGGTCGTCGTCGGCCACGGGTGAACTTTGCCTTCTCGGTGTCCCTGCCACTATCACGTTCATGCCGGGCTTCGTGTCCCCCGTCCAGTCTGGTCCCTCTTTAGCGTCTGGTTGAGGTCGCCTGCGAGGGAGATGTGGTCGAGCAGCTTGATCTCGCTGTTGCCCTTTTGAACGATGTTGTTCTCCCCCTGGTGTCGCGTCTTCACTCTGAGTTCCTCCATCAAGTGGCATGTTGCCCCTCCCTACTACCGGACCACCTCCGGAGAGGGCCGGTTTCAGGAGAGGTCTTCGCGACCCCTTGGGCACTTGAGAGCCCGACATGTTACGGGCGAATGGCCTCAGGCCACCCCCCGCCCTCGGCACGTCCACCCCCCAAGCCCACAGAGATAACGCTCTGTGGTATCGAGGGGCCGGCCGAAAAGCGACCCGCTCCGAGGAGCCGGCAGGCGAGCGACTTGAGCCAAAATGGCTCTCTCTCTCTCTCTCTCTCTCTCTGTCTCTCTCTCTGCGTCGCACAAACGCACGAACTCATCGCAGCAACAGGAGCCAGGGGGCTTCACATACACGCCCCTGCCGTGGCTAGCGAGGAAGCTCTCCGTCGCCGGCAGGCAGCCAGGCCATTTGCAGCGACATCCGAGCAGGCACCACCTGCCACAGTGTGCGAGAGGACTTGCACCTCCTAAGCAGGCATTCCCAAGTTCGACGGCTAGGGATCAGTGTGCGCTCCTTCAACAATTCAGAAGAGGCTGAAGAGGCATGAAAAGGTTTGGAAAGTTATTGGCATACAGCTCTGACAGCGAGGCTTCGTGGCCTGAAGCCGATTTCCACGTTCTTGGTGCCAGAGAGGTTGTACTGACCGTCCATGGCCGCGAGCTTCTCATGTGAAAGGCTTTGGCCATCTGCCAGCGCATTGATCAAGTGATCCAGAATCAGCATCACCTGCTGCGCTTTGAGAGACATGATCTGAAGATCCTGGGGCGTTTCCAGCAGCCAGCGGTCTGCCGCTTGCCGGCTCTCCTCGAGCAAAGTCTTGTCAACGTGAGCCGTGAGATCAAAGTCGGGGATCCCTTCGCCATGCAGCCAGAGCTCCCAGTCAACTTGCTTTACCTCGGCCACACCTTTGAAGAACTCGATGAAATGAGCCTTCATGTCGCTTGTTTGGATACTGCGACCGCGGAACTTCTGGATATAAGACTGCAGATATTTTGTCATAGGCTCCTCTCCTCCCACGAGCTGCTCCAAGTAGAATAGAAAGAGCGAGCCTTTCTCATACGGCACTCGCGAGAAGGCGTCATCTGGGTCAATATCGTCGATGTCCGGTTCCAAGCGCGTCAACCCAGAGCTGCCCTGCTTGTTCAACATGTCGACGGTCCTGGGACGAGGTTTCAAGAAAGGTCTCTATGAGAAAAGGAAACTGCCTCTCGAGCTTAGAGGCCAGACCTGAATCAGCTAGCACCCAGCAGGAGAGAGAAGAACGGATTGTGAGAAGTCTTGTAGATGCAGCAGAAGCAACTTGACCAGGTCGTTGTACCCAACAAGGAGGAGGAGGCCGCGAAAAGCAGCGCCGTGAATGTTGCCTTCAAGCAAGGCGTCACATTTGACGACGGGACGACGGCATGCCTGGGCCATACACGAAAGCAGAAAAGCTGCTGGCCAAAAACCAAGCTGCCCAGGATTCTCCGCTCGATATAGCGGGTGAAGCCTTCATTCAGCCAGAAGTCCTTCCAGTACGCATTCGTCACCAAATTTCCAATCCATGAATGAACAATCTCGTGTGCCAGTGTGGTTGTGAGGCTTCGATCGCCAGGAATCAATGAAGCACTCAAGAAGGTGCAATTAGGATTTTCCATGCCCCCATAGGCAAAAGAAGAAGGCAACACCGCCATGTTATAGCTGCCCCACTCATACTCCGCGCCACCAATCACTTGTTGAGCAGTCTCCAAGAATTCGTCCACGATTTCGCTGAATTCCTGCCGGGCTGCCTCCATGATGGCTGGCTCAGCGTAGCAGCGGCTTCGCTTCCCTATGACCCGAGATTCAAATTCAGCCACAATTACAGCAATCAGGTAGGACATCACGGGAACTTTCTGTGCATACGTGAAGGTGCGCAGTCCATCTGCTTCTATGGGTTCCCCCACTGGCTCTCCAGATGCCACAGCCATAAGTGGTGTTGGGACCGTGACGCTAATCGAGAAGGTAGCCTTGACAGAAGGGGTGTCCTGGCAGGGAAGAAGTGATCGCCCACATATTGCCTGGCTTTGTGTAAAACACAGTGGATGCTTCTTGCCCGTGGTCTGTTCCCTGGTTAGCCACTGAATTGCCGTGCTCTTCTCCGTTGTCTCATAGCGCACGCAAATCTTGGATCGTTTGCCTGGAGGCAGAGTCACAAACAGCGCCTTTCCAAACTTGGCTTTGGATCCGTCAGGTGTGTCCACACGCCACCCGACCTGAACTTAGGACACTGGCTGAAATTCAGGGCATGCACTCCCGGGGTGGGGCAAGTTTGTCCAACGGCACTGAAAGCAAGAGGAGGAGCCGGCTCGTCATCCTCGTCTGTGATGCTATGTATGGCCTCAGCGCAAAGTGCACGGCAGGTACTGGATGATGCGTTCGTTCATGTCCCGGCGAAATCAAAACTCGCGTCAAATATAGCCAAAGCTCCAAATCGAGGACATCAAGAACGACGTCGCATACCCCAGGCTTCAGCTTGTCTACAACAAGCTTGCACTCTCCAGAGAACAGCTGTCGCTGGAAGTCGACTTTGAGGTGGAGCTCGAGGCCTGGGGCAGCTGAAGGTTGCTGCAAAAAACGTGAGACTGGTGGGACTAAGGACTTTACATTTCCAGACTACTCCTAGGAATCTCTGGGGCACAGGCTTGTCACCAGTGCCTCCCAAAAATTAGCCACAGAGTGCGGGCACGACACTGAATCCTGCAAGCCATGTGGTGGTCAAAGGACTCCGACTTGCTGCGTGAATCCCGTCACGACTTCACCTACCGATATCGGGCAGAGCCGTGCACAGCCAAGGCCTGCCGTGAAGCTGGTTTCTTTGCGGCGATCTTCGCTGTCGCCGGGCGCTTCACGGCCGAAGCTGCCACCGCTGCCGCAGGCCGCTTCTTTGGCGCCATGAGGCGGCGGCACGGGATGCAGGTTGCTGCAATCCGAAGCTGACGCTGTCACAGTGGTCTACAGCATTCGGCACCTTCACACCAGTAAACTGAGAAGACTTGACAAGCAGCTTAGCAGCTGCCCGACAATGCACAAAACTTGTGGATCTGAGATCATAGTGAGCTTACTTCACAAAAATCTTACCTTCGGTTTTAGCAGGGATGTTCCTGGCGTTTTCATGACCCACGGGCTGCGTGCGCCACTCGCCAAGTTTAAAGCACCGACAATGTACCGAATGCTGGCAAACAAATCCAATGGGATGTGCTGCTTGCCTTGATATCTCTTGTCTGTGACTCCACCGATGTAGCAGATGCAATCCAACACCATCATCACCACTGCCGTCCTTCCAGTGTCTCACCCGGGCCTCTGCACTTTCAGTCGATGGCGCAGTCAGGGAAGCCTCGAGACCCAAAGAGCGGCTTCAACGAGCAACTTGCGTCATTCAGGAGACGTGCTCAAGGAAACCACCAGCTCAGCTGGAGCAGCTCAACAACGTCTTGCAAATGTTATGAAGCTCTTCAACTCCGCAGGATGGTATTGAATCCCCACTCCTGCACAGCAGGTTGGGCGAAATCCTTCACGAGCTCGTGTATACGAGACCTGCAGGGTCGGAGGGGGTGGCATGGATGCAAGAAGCTGTGGCATGCACGTATGACATACGTATGACATCGTATGACTGCAGGACAGTGCCCATGCTGATCTGAAGCCTGTGATAGGCCCTGTTTACTGAGGCGCATGCTTGGGAAGCTTCAGATTTCGTCCCGGACCCAAATCAAGAACCTCGAAGCTCTTCGCTTCGATTCCAATGCGTGTCATCCAAAACACCCTGGAATGCCGGCCGAGTTCTTGACAGCAAAGATAGCAGCGACGCCAGCACCAACTGCGGGAACGGCTGGCGAACCTGCTGCCAGCTGCAGGACCTGAACCCCAAAAGCCACCCACGTAACATTGCGACTGGATGGACTGACAGGCACCCACAGCATTTCAGGCGGCCTCTGCCTCCGAAAGTCCACGGAAGTCTATTCCTCACTGAAACCGTTGCTCCGGCAGCCCCATGACAGTCGCGCCGGGCTAAGATACCGGCTCCAGATTGGGTATCCATGGCAGAGCAGGATCTCCTGACCTCGACGTCAGCAGGAGCTCTGGACGAAGCGCCCGGGCCGGAGCTTGCGTGACTAAGACCCGGGCCGACCAAGGCCCGATGATGACTGAAGGCATAGTAGTCAGGTCTCAGCGAACTGGAACTGGAGGAAAGGCACAGACATTCAGAAAGCCACTTCGAGCTGGAGACCTGTCGCTGGTGGCTTTGCTAACCTTGCAGGCTCGGCCAAAGCATTGCGATCTACAGTGCAGAACGTGCATCCTTCTAGGCAACTCCGCCAAGAAGCATGGCTCGGCCGGGGCAGGAGTCCATCATCTCTGCGTCCAATTGGCTGAAATCCTCCGGGCAGGCGGGAAATGGCGGGAGGGGCAATCCTCGTCGCCTCGCCTTGAGAAAGATCTGCGCAGAGGTTTGAGATGTCCTGCCCACTCTGCCTGCAGCGCCTTGGCTGAACCCTTCACAGGCATCACTGCACCCAGCCAGGCCCGAATGGGTTCCACACTCATAAATCAGATTGAGGACGACCACCTCCAGATCTCAGAATCAGCTTCATGCATTCGTGTGCTGCGGTTGTAGGAAGGTGTTCCAAGCCACAATCACAGGCTTCTAGGACGAGAAGGAACAGGTGTCGTCTGCACACGTTCAAACCAGTTTTCCATCCTGGACGACATTCAACTTGTCGATTGCATCAATCAGCTTCTGGTCTGAAAGATCCTTCCTACTTCTGGCTTGGCTGCTAATTTCCAGCTCCCCGGGGCAGTTACATGACGTCTTTCCGGTCATGAATTCCGGGAAGTCGGAGAGAGAACCTGTGCCTGGTAGCTTCCTTATGAAGCACGCAACACTAAGGATCTCGTGTTGAGTCACGACAGAGCGGCCTTGTCGGGTGCTGCCTGCTTGAGCCACTTGTCCCGAGGTGGCTTCGAGCCTTCCCAGGCTCCGAACGGACTCTGAAGAGCGCTCGGATGCTGGCGCTGGGCCTCTGAGCAACTCGGTGTATCGAGCCTTGCCAGGCCACCCAGTCTGAACATCGACGGAAGCAAAGCCAAAGCAGAGCTCCGCGCATCACCGGGTTGAAGTCCCAACTCTCGAGCCTTCACAACATCTTGCTCACCATCGAAAAAAGCGAGCCAGTACTTTTGCTTTGATGCCTCAACTGTCAGCTGCCGTGTGTTGCTCTTCGGCGCCTTCCTTTCAATCACCCGAACACACAGCTCACCTCATCACACGTAAACATCCCGATGGTTCTTAACAAAGGCCTGCGTCCGCCGGCAGCCCGCTCAGCCTTCTCGAGTTGCTTCGCCTCCTTCACACCATTCACCTGTGATCAGCTTCAGACGGAAATGAGGAACGGCCTCTTTGGATTCATGTCCCGCTGGGACGCTCACCACGCGCGGGTCCTCCTCCGGCAACATAAGGGCACCCACCGTACAACTTGGCAGCCTTACAGGGTCCGTGGTCAGCTGCAGCTTCCTGCGATCACAAACAGCAGTGTTCTTACTGGGAAGTCGGCAGTTTTCGCTCGCCCGGCAGCTTCAGCTCCCCGATTGCTTGCATAAGTTTTGCTGCTGCATCGGCAGCTTCACGGCCGCCACAATCAGCCCGGATCAATCTGCGGCAGCGCTCCGCATGCACGAGACACGAGAAGAGAACACGCGTGGCAGAGGCCCTGGCATCACAAACGCATCTGGCCCAGCAAGGGGAACCCCAAACTTCATCAAGGGCAACTCGACAAAGGCCACGCCATAGTTCTGAAGGCGGCTGAGACCCCAGTCAACCTTGAGGCCGCCCAGGCTGAAAGGGAGCGAATTTCTCCAAAAGGTTCGACTCCAAGCAGGCGCCTGCCGATCCTCGGACCTGCGTGGGTCTTCACCTTCCATGAGGAAGCTGTACACGGAGGGCCGGGAAGCCTGCCATGGGTATGAAGCTGTAACGAAGCTGTTAACCAGTTTCCTCTGCGCCTCCGGCAGGAGATGCCAACCCTCACAATGAAGCAAGCAACCACGAGGTCGTCGGAGACCCTGTCACTCGCCACTACCCAGGTGAAATCTCTCACTGCATGCCACAATGCCAATACCACCGAGACCCCAGCCAAATGTGAGCGAACAGAGAGGAATGTCGCTGATTTTGGATCATCAAAACAACTAGGCCTCAGCGGCTTGGCACGAACGAACTGAACTGATTTGACCAAAACCAGCTGGCCACAAAGTCCGTTTAGGGTCTTGGCTTTGATGGATCCAAATTCAGGAACGGCCTCTGACCAAACTGGAGGTCTTCTGCACAGCATAGCAGCATATCTGATCATTGCCGGTTCAACTGCAGGCAGGCCACTCGCAAGGAAAACTTGCAAAGAGGAAATCCTCCAGACCCAAAGCAGTGAGCGTGTCTGCAAGAAGACATCCTAGGCTGGACGTACCCAACCTGGTTCTCGGTGCGAGTTGACTCACATGCCTTAAGCTTGAGACGGCTTGGTCTCCGCGCGTCAGTAGTAATCCAAGACTCTTTTTTTCGAGCCTGAGGGCCAGGCTTTATGTTGTACTTCACAGTGGCCGGACCTTTAAGCACCGGAACAACCGCGGGGAGATTTCAACCTGTGTGTGCGCTTGCTTGGACTCCAAGCCCAGCGAGCGCAGCATTCAGATCGCAAAACACGTGCTGGGGCTTGCAGGTTCTCTTCAACAAACGAAGGGGTCCCGAGCCACCTGCATTCGCACACTTGCATCTGAACAAGAGCAGATGAAACTCGATTCTTCCCAAGCCTGACACATGGGCTGATGAGATTGTGAACGGGGCGACTTCACTCAGGAACTCCTCAGGCACACTGGCTGTGCCACCACCACATAGGCAGCTGCACTTCAATTAAGACGACAAATGAAGGGTCCTGCAACGCAATGCCCGCACAAGTTGCACTTCCACAGATGGTAACGTTCAATTCATGCGCATCATCCACCAACTTGGAACCTGGGTCTGGGCACGCGGTCCAGCTCCCAACAGGCCCCTGAAAGCACCAGCGGCCCAAACTGGAGTCGTAGAGGAATCGCCGCAGGGCTCGTGCCCACTCCCCAGAAGGCCTGACTGGGAAACTTCCACCACATCATCTCATTTTCTTGCCCTCAAAATACTTGAAGACTTGGGTCAAGGCCATGCGGCCGAATCCTGCTCGGCTCGCAGTACTTCATCAACCTGTTCATCCTCCAGACACATGAAGGCTAGGAAGGAAGCACGGAAGGAAGGGGACTTTCAAGGATGCCTGCCTCATCCACCTCGTCGTCGCTGTCAATGGCAATCTGGTCCTTTGGACGTCACTCTCAACCCTTCGTGCACCAACACAACCAACGACTACCCCTGACGAAAGATCACTCCTGCGCCGATGCTATTCTCCGTGGCGCTTTTGCGACTTTCTTGGCCTGTGCCTGTTCAGCTGGCAGAGTCACACCGGGCATGCAAAAGCATTGTTTGGTTGCTTCGGGGCATAGTCACAGGCAGTCCCTGTGTTGCCCGCTCAGTCGAGCAACCCCATTTGTGCATTGTCTCTCTCTCAGTCTCTCTCTCTGTTCTCCTGGGGGTCCTCCTTCGTTGTGCACAGACTTTGGTAGTCCTGCAATTGAAAAGAGCGGAGCGGCTGTGACGGAAAGCATCGGTGCCGCGGGCTTGCTTGGCGTCCTCGCCCGGCAGCATGAAGCCGGAGGTTTCCAGTGTATCCTTCGTCTCTGGTAGCATGGTCAGCCAGCCTGAACTAACAACTTAAGGCATCTGTGAATCTGTCCCTCTCGAATCGATGTTGTGTGCAACACACCCGGACAGATGCACAGAACAACGGTCCTTTGCGAGTAAAGTACACAATGCTGATGCGGGAGCCTCGACGGACATGTACTGTGTGGCGGGCAAGCAAGCTTCAAGCTGCACGAGCCTGTATATGGCATGGTCATGTGCGGCGTGTTCCCATCAAACTTCAGCCACTTGTTGCGACAATCCTCAAGCCGTCCAGGGACTTTCTGCCCTGGCCTTCGAGCAAAGAATCTCATCGACAGGGACTTAAAGCAGCTGCTTGCGGATGTGCCTGAGATGACTCCAGCCGCGTAGAGCACACGGCAGTTCCATCTCAACCGTTCCATTTTCGTCGTAGATCCAAACTTCACCACCCGTGTAATCACCTAACCTCGAACGACATCAGTCCAGAATCCGATCTTGGACAGAAACGAACATGATACTGGCTCTGGCAAGCATAGGACAGCTGGGATCATGGCCCTATGATGAAGCTCGGTCCGTGATTGTTGGCATCCTCTGGGCAAGTGGCTCTGCTTGGGGCTTGTAGTGGCAACGCCGCTGCAGAGTGTTACATGTCCAGCCCTGGGCTCTCTGCTACGTGCATCTTCGTGGCATAGTTCTTGTTCAGTTGCCTCGGTTGGTCTCGAAAGTTCGAAGCGAAGCGCCCTAAGAGAGCGCCCCGAGGGGCCAGGCATCGTCGTGTACCTGAAGTCTGGCTGCTCCTGCTGGATGAACTTCGCAAGCAACTTCGTCAGAGTTGGCCTCACGGCAACGGCACGAGGGAAGAGCGTCTAATATCAGGCGCTTAGCTCATGTTCTGCTTGGCTGGCGTGACCCCAGGCTCAGATCGACTGCGGGATACATGCGCCGCAACTCGTGCTATTACAAGCACACGAGAATTTCCCTGCGTCTCTACACCAGTCGATCCAGAAGCTTGACATTAGACGACACATCTGACATCAGCAAATAACAGGATCTGCAGTGCTTGGGATCCGAGGCTCAGACCAGAGACGGGTAGCACGTGAGCAAACCAGACCGAGGCAGTAGTTGAGGACAATGCCCAGAGGAAAGGCCTCGCAACATGAATTTCAGTTCTGCTCCTGCTTCCGGAGTCAAAGCAGTCGCTACCTCGATGAACGGAGCTCCGTCAGGCTTCACCTTTC